AAACTTTCAATATTATATGGTACAAAATCGCGTCGTAAACAAAAGGTCGTACATGATCGGATTCAATATTTAGTCTTATTGTTTAATTAAACATAAATTTTTTGTTGGTAAATATGGTGAAAAATTACTTGTGACTTTTTCTTTAAACTGTTTTTATTAAAAAATTTTCTTGAATTTTTCATTAAATACTTATCAGTTAAACATATTAAACAATTTTTAAATTATATGTTTTTATTTAAATTATATATTATACATAGAACTCACCTGCAGAAGAACAACTAATTTTACAAAACTAAAATCGATCGCACCAATAGGCTTTTGGCGTTCTTTTAAACTTCAGCATTACATTTTTACTTTCCAGAGCACTGCGTCAACTAACACTTTACCACTGATCTTACCAACGGTGCAAAAGGTTCGAACCTGTATTGAACATATTTCGATAGCTGAAACATCATTTTAGCCAACCAAAGAAAACAAAAACCCCAAAATCGATGCTTTATTTTTGGATTTATGAGTACGAATTGGGGACCAAATATCACTGTGCGACTGGTAAATTTGTAAACATTTTCAGAAGTCGCAGCATTAATACAAAACATACAAACTCAATCAGAAATCTAATTGATAAGTGTATGAAATTGTTTGCCAGATTGGGAAAAGCCCAATATTTTACCTTCACATGAGAGGGCTACCAATTCACACCAACTGCCCAATCGTCTGATTCTGATTTTAGAGTGGATTTATAACTGTAATATCTAATGGAGCTTCATGACAATTTTATTAAGAAAATTGGAAAAGTCAAGAAGGTCTAGCGGTAGAAGTCATGGGTGTAACTATGTGAAAGATTTGCTTCGACAAAGCTCCATACGAGAAACCACCATCCTCCTTGAACGCTTTGAAGGCGGCAGTTTTTTTCAGCTTGGTCATTCCTTAGTAAATATTCAAAGTACTGCGTGCCACGCCCCGTTGTGTTTGTACGTTGAGGTATTTGTAGTTCGGATTGATTGGCAGCCAAGTGGAGTTGCCTGTGCTGAAGCCGGCATTCTCCGATGTGTCCCATTGCATTGGCATGCGCTCTGGATCTCGGTAATTATCAGAGTCTGTGTCCATGTCAGTCATGCCGATCTCATCACCCTTAAATATTGACACACTATTTAGTTTAATACTGACAAAGGAAATTCCTGTGTTCATACATGCATATATATGTAAGTCAGAACTTACGTTATAAGTGACCGATGCGCCGGGCATGGCATGCACTATCATCGTCATCATATCCACTCTTTTCTCGCCTATATGTGTAGCCGGACGACTGTTGTCATGGTTGCCTGCTTGCCAATTGGCCGCATCGGTCGGTTTGTCCACATAACATCCATACACATTTTAGCGCGCTGTTCGACGTCCTCTGCCGTGGTTGAGGTGCGTAATTCAATTAAAATTCAGAGGCATCTGCGCACCGATGTGGGTGCCGTTGGCAATGTACGCGCTCAAAATATCAATTGGCGCATATGCTTCTGCAACTTGGATCCTAAGAAATAATGTATTGGATTTGTATATTTGGTTTTCTCATATCGCTTCTTTACCTAGAATCGCCGCCATGCACTCGCTGGTATTCGTCTAAAAACTCACGCCATTCATATAATAGTTCAAGGTTTTCAGGCAAATTCAGTGTATGAATTCCATACCTGTCCTCATCTGGGAAAGTGCCATTTTCGTAATGCGTTTCAAAGAAGAATGTCACAGCATCGATACGAAACGAGTCCACACCGCGCTCAAGCCAAAATTCCATTAAGAGCAGGCGTGAATGATAGGAAGGGATAGGATCAGAAAATTTTAAAGAACGAAGGGCAGATTTTAAGAATACTTTTTGAACTTTTTCAATCCTATTAATAGAAAATTGGAAATAAGGTCGCCAAATAAACGCAGCATACTCTAACCTAGAACGAACAAAAGTTGTAAAAAGCAATTTTAGCGTATAAGGGTCCGAAAATTTTGAACTGTTTCTTCGAACAAAACCTAGAATTGAATATGCCTTAGTTAAAATAAAATTTTACTTAAACCACACCAATCCAATGGTGCGTAAGCGCATGATTGAGGTTTT